TTTCTTCAGAATATATGACGTGATACATCTATTTAATGTTTATAGTCTGTTACTTATTATGACGCATTATGTAAAATTAATAAATTAACAAAAAATTATAGTATGATATTTTATTTACATCTTAAAACGTAATAAATTTAAATTTATTTAATGATCAATATGCTGAAAACATTTATTTAAATAAATATCACTCCTTAATACTCAAATTGCTTGATTAAAATATAACTTTTTAAATATTGTTTAAGTTAAATGCGATTATAAATAGTAATTTTAAGGAACAATATTTTAACAAGCCTTCGTCATTAGTAACTAAACCCAACCCAAGGGATTATGACCCGCAGCGATAAGCTAGGGGGGTGTCGAGAGTCCCCGTCGTACTTTTATTTAGGTAAAGGAAAAATAATGTTTTAGATATATTTTATAATTATTATCGACAGTTGGAGAAAAAATAACTATAATTTAAATAACAATGTAAAATATCATATCAATATGAGAACCAAAAAAAATTTTTTTGAATTATATATTTAACTTAAAAAATAACAGTCGCTATGTTTCGTTTTTTCAACTATAGTTTACTATCATATATTATCAGCCACGAGCGTAAAAATGTTTTATTGAATACTATCATAAAAGATAATATATGGACTATTGAAATAGATAATCGCTGCCTACGATATAAACAAACCAAATTACTGATGAGTTTTTTCTTTAAGTCCAAATTTAAGGTCAACTAACTTAAAATACAAACAGTTCATCTATGAATAAAGTGATAAAAATAATTTTTTCGTTAAATAATGATATTTTTTTAATTTACTTATTAAAATTTAATTAATTTATATAATCAATAATAAATGCCAAGTTTATTGTACGAATAAATTATTTTTAAGGGTAGATTTTAAGGATAACTTTCGAAACTTAAATAGAAACCTATTATTTTTAGCTTTGATACAAATTTGAGACGGTATTGTTTTTATTATCATGTTTTTAGCTTCGATAGTAAAAAATATATTCTATTTGAAATATTTCTACAATATGCTCACAAAACAATTTTTGCTACCGTATTTTAAACAGAAGATTACACAAAAAGTTTGAAAGAGTACGCATACCAAAAAATTAGTTGGTACTCAATTTATTAAAGTGTTCCAGAGCATCTGATAAAAAACTTTTAATCTACATTAAACTGAAACTATTGATGAGAACTACATAATTAAAAAAAAATCCACCCCACAAATGTTCTACAATAAAAAATCGGTTGTAAAAGAAAAAAAAATACACAATTATTACAAAACAAATACTTTATATTCAATTGTTATTAAATATTCCGAGACGTCTGAAATCAATCTTAAATATAAATTTTTAAATTATACTTTATAATGTTAAAAAGGAAAATGTCCCGCGACCATATTTTTCTATAAGTTATTTAAATGAAAAGCCAATATTTTCTAATTTTAGTAAAAAATAGTTACTTTTTCGTTTTGGTATAACTCTTTCAAAATACACTAATGCTAATAAAATTTTTATAAAATAAAAAATTATTTACTAAAAATAATAAACTTTCTTTTGGTATATTTTTTATGAAAAACCTAAGAACACCCTCTGGGATGTACTATGAGGTGGGTGCAATAGAGGCAAGAGGGTTCCAAAAAATATGAATGTATACTTTTTTTTTCGTATGAGATGTATTTTGTTTAAAAATGTATTTTTTATATTATTTGATGTTTTTGTTTTGATAATTATACTAAATATTTTATGCCTATACTTCAAATAAATCCTGACGTCAGAGTTATTGTTATTGATTTTATTCAATATTAAAAATTATTGGGAAAACATGTAAAAGACGTATTTTTTTAATTTTAATTTTTATATCTCAAACAATGGATGACAAGAAGAATTATACTTATATTTTTTATAGATTATACGTTTTTATTTATTTTATATTTTTAATATTTTTTGTAAAATTTATAGTTTATGAGATAAGTGAAAAAATACAAAAACTACCCTCATTGATCGCATTTTATCTCCAATGCAACTCAGGAGATGTTGAGTTTGAATAATACACATAAAATTTAAGTTTTGGTTTTATTATTTCAATTTGTTTAAACTTAGTATTTATAAAATTATTTTGGTATTATTATATTATATTGGTATTATAGGGAAGAAGCCTCACACGAGTTGCCTTGAAGTCTGATATTTAAGCACCCCCCAAGTTTTTGACTGAATGTGCACCTAATCGTACTTCAAAAATAAATTATAAATTGACAATTGTTAACTGTGTCCTCAATTTTCTCATAAAATTTTTTTTTGAAACTGAAAAATATTATGATTTCTACATAACTTTGTTAAATTAGTAAGCTCATTTAATTTATCCTGTTCTTTGTTTTGATCCTTGAGCCAATATTTAAGTAATCAATTGTTATACTTATTGGAATACTCAGAAATAAAGCTACTAGGACTAAAGAAATTACCTTATCAATGTTTTAATAATTTTTTTTTTTTTTTTTTTAACCGTTAGGTTGGTTAATACCAATTGGATTGGTATATCCTGGGGAAATTTAAGTGCAGTGGTTTCCCGTTGCCTTCTGCACTGGGAACATGGTGCTTTTTCGCCACCGTAGATGCGCACGTATGGTCACCCATCCGTTCACCTACGGCGGTAGGCGCGGCTTAACACTAAAGTTTTGTCAACAACTAGTGTGACCACCGCGCCACACCACGCCCATTTTAACAGTATAACCAGATAAATTTTGAATAGATGAATACAACCTTCCTACATAGCAATGAAATATTTATAGAATATTCCTGGAATATTATTTTTTGCTTAATTGAATTAAGGTTATAAAAATTGATACTAATTAGGGAAAATGGTTGTTTACTTATTAAAATTAAAATATGTTTTATGTTATTTTTCGCAATAACAAAAAATATTTAAAAAACTAAATATTTTATTAATATTTTTTTTAAGATTTGAAGATGGCCATTTTATAGATAAGTTTTAAAGAAAAATGTTGATACCAAAAACGCTTATTTTAATTCAGTAGTTACATTTATACAACATTTTGAAGTTTGTTAAATTTTGATTTTTTTTTATAAATTTTTTATGGTATCAAATATTAGTCCATATTGTATAAAGTACTGAAGTAAACACTTACTGCGTCATTTAATAGTAACAGTATGCGATTTCTTTTCCATGAAAACTATTAACATTTGAATAAGCATTTGTAATTGACATGAAAAAACAAGTAGTATTATAATTAAGATTATTAAAAAAATATAGAAACATTGTCTAAAACATGTTGATTTTTTAATTAAAGATGTTCATATATCATAAATTTAAACGTGGATAATAGTGAATAATTGCATTTATTATCAAATCTCCCAAGAAGTAATATCCTACAATAATATGATTACAATGATAGAATCACACAAATTAATAATTGATATCACTTTTAAATTGACTAACCACGGAACACTAGTAGTTGACATACGATAATGTTTCTTATATTTGTAATAAACATTAGAGATAATCATTTATGTAAAATTGTGTAATTGCGAAAAATAACAAATTTTTAATTTAGTTCTACATTGTAAAAATTGTTAAAAAAAAGTATAAAATGTTATGTTTATCATAAACTATATGAGTTGTCAGTTAGATCTGTTCCATCATGTATATATTTTCAACAAATAAAATTATAAAAAGAAATGATCTGATATTAAAAAAAAGTATGTCACATAATAGATAAATATAGATAGTACTTATCTTAAAAAAATTATGATGATCTATACATTTTTTTAAAAGTTATAGCATTATAAAGTTAAATATATAAAAAACATTTTTTTTTACAAAAATCGTATTATTTTTTTATTAACTTTGTTGTCCGTTTTCACCGTGAAGTCAAAATAATGTCTGAAATGTTTTTTTCCATAATAAAGTATATTACATTAGCTTTAATTTGAGATATATATAAAAGTGTAAGTATTTCCGGAATACTTTCAGGAGTTAAGTTGGAAAAGTTAATTATTTGTAAAAAAGTTTTGAATCATCCTATAGGTAGGTAAAGGATTTATAAAAAAAAATTGTATTTTTTTTGGAGATTTCCCCCATTTACGCGGAACGAAAGAAATTTTTTCAATTTTGGAGAATAATGTCTTCGATAGATATGTTTTATGATCTATTGACGTATCGTTGAGAGAAATCGGGCCAGTGTGAGCTGAGAAAAAGTGGCAACAGACACACACAAAAAAAAAAATAAAATAAAATAATAAAAAAAAACACATCATAGTAAAATTAGTATCTACTCCGCTTCGCATCGAAGCTTCAAAATATTTGGGGCTTTAATATTCAACACAATAGGTCCCATATTATTACACGATTTGTATTTTTGTATTAATGTATTTTTGGCAAAGTATGTATTTTAAGTATTTGAGGGTTTGAAATTTTAATAAAAAACGTGAACTTTTCTTCAATTATTAATTTTAAGCTATTGATTTATGTTGATATAAATAATACCATGTTTTAACTCTAATTGAGTAACCCTAATTAAAAAAGATTACCTAATTCTCACACTCAATTATAATCTTTTTTTAGGTTTATTACACATGATTATCTTAATTTTATCTAAATATGGTTATGATGTTAGTTAAAAATAGTAAGACATATCAGATTGGGTAATCTTTATAATATTAGAGTAATTCAATTTTTAAAATACAATGATCCGAAATTTATAAACGTCAACTTTTGTTGTTTCTTAGTTAATCATAAAATTAATTGTTTATTTCAATTATTCATAAATATTGTACCATTTAATTTACTCAACCATTTTTTTTTCTAAATTAAAAAATATTTTTAATACTTTGATTTAATAGATATGTCTGTTTTTTCTTGTTAAAAGGAATAAATCAGTTTTCAATAGTTATTTATTTATAATATCTTTTAATAAAATTCATATGAGTAAATAAAGTTGTGCTTGTGCTTTATATAAATATAAGTGTGTATAATACAAAATAGTTAATTTTTAATAATTTATTCTTTAAAAAATTTATAATGATTAAAAAAGTATTAATTTTGGTCAATTTTTTTTCACTACCGGTGTCCATGTTATCTATATTTTCGTGTGTAAATCAACAAATAAAACTAAAAGACAGAAATGTAAGAACTTTCGATTTTAAAAATTATTTTTTTCGATTAGTTGATTATAGTAATATTATATTACAAAACATAAAACTAAAATATTATTTAAGAATTTATATAAAGCTGAGAAGTTATTACTTTCACTATTATGTGTTTTTTTTTGTATCGGTAGCCACTTTTTTCAGCTCTCACTGGACCGATTTTTTTCAACGATAGGTCAAAAGATCACAAATCGTATCTAGTCGAAGACATTACCCTATAAAATTGAAAAAATTTCTCTCGTTTCTCGAAAATGGGGGAAATCTTCAAAACAATTACACATTTAAAAATCACTAATTTTCGAAATTTGTTTTACTTAAAACTGCCATAACTTTCTTAAAAATGATCAAATCAATATAATTTTTTTTTATATAGATGCATGATGTCTTTACCTATCATTTATTATATTTTTTTTTTATAAATTTAACCCTTTACCTGCCCACTCCACAGGGGTACTCGAAATGACAAATTTTTCACAAATAATTAACTTTTTCAACTTAACTTTTGAAAGTGTTCCGGAAATACTGACACTTATAGTATATCTTAAATTACAGTTTACTATGATATGTTTTTTTTTTTGTGTCTGTTACCACTTTTTCTCAGCTCACATTGGCCCGATTTCTTTCAACGATACGTCAATAGATCATAAAACATATCTAGTCGAAGACATTATTCTCCAAAATTGAAAAAATTTCTTTCGTTCCGCGTAAAGGGGGGAAATCTCCAAAAAAATTACAATTTTTTTTTATAAATCCTTTACCTACCTATAGGGTGATTCAAAACTTTTTTACAAATAATTAACTTTTACAACTTAACTTTTAAAACTATTCCGGAAATACTTACACTTTTATATATATCTTAAATTAAAGTTTATGTAATATAATTTATTAAGGAAAAAACAATTTCGGACTTATTTTGTCTTTATTGTGAAAATGGCTACTGTATGCTTTTTTTCTATAACTTTTTAAAAAATTTATGGATTATTATAATTCTTTTAAGATAAGAACTAATTATAACCTTCTTTCATTCGAAATACTGTTTTCTTAAATCGGACCATTTCTCTTTATTATTATTCATTCTAAAGACTAAGCCTTGTCGTATAACCAACTGGATTGGTATATATACTCGGAAAATGTTAAGTGCAGTGGTTTTCCTTTGCCTTCTGCACTGGGAACGTGGTGCTTTTTTCCACCGTAGGAGCGCACGCATGGTCACCCATCCGTTCATTTTCTTTTATATATTAATTTTAAGTGATCTTAAAATGTATATTTGTTAAGTCAGTTTTTAATATTTATATAACAAATTCAATACAGTATAACCAAATGCATAGTTCATAAGATAGACAGAAAAACAATTTATTTTATTACTTAGATTTATTTTTCGATATTACAGGATGGTTTTTTACCAAGGTCAGTTAATCAACTCTCATCATTGGCTCCCTATGGAAGCGATTCGCCTGATATACTTGCGCAAATCGATTTTGTTGACAATGAGCGTCATGACTTTTATTTTAACCCAGTCGACGCTGATTGGCAAAGTGCCATTAGAGTCTTACACAATTTTCAGAAACACAAAACTTATGAACTTTTTAGTGGTGGATCATTAACTTATCCAAAAATAATAATAAATACTAGTAAAAACGGAGATTCATTTTACAAAGCAATATCATATGCCATCACTGGAACACATGACTATTACAAAAATATTAGAAAAAACTTAAGTTTGGTAAGTTTATATAATTGAATCTTGAAACATTTTTAAAATAATTATAATGTGACCAAAAGATACCCTTTTATTTTTTGTAATATATTTGTATATTTTGTGTTTTTGGCTTATAATGAGCTTATTATTTTTCTATTGGATGAGCCGATTGCGCGTTGCAACAGCGAATATAACGTACAAGTCAATATATCAATATATAGATTAATATATTTTAATACCAAAATTTCAAATAAATTACAATGGTTAGAGTACATTTCAATGGTTGTCGTAGTAGGAATATAAGCAGACCCAGTTATGAGTGTAATATCACTAGGTAAATTTAGTTTAAGGAATAGGTGTTTTATGCCTGTAACAGTCTCAATATAATTTTTTATACATAATTGTTTTTTTTGCAGCAATCAAAACTTCCCCTCTGTCTATCATTTCTAAATAAATTAAAATTTTCACAACTTAGTTCTGCATCATGAAAATTACTCTTTAATCACGACTCTGAGATAAATATAATATTACTTTGAATATTTAAAATAGAATTACGAAATAGTGAAAGTTTAATCTCTTATATATTGATAAAAATGTTTAAAGTAAAAAAATTACATAATTTATCCATAGAATGACGACGATTTGCAACAATTACTGGGTGTACCTTTAACATATTTTATAGTTAAATAATTTTCACCGTTAGAGATACGTGATTTTAACTCATTCATTCAAGTAATTCCTCTAAAACTCAATTAATACATTTTACGAAATATTTAAACATTCTTTCACTATTTTTTTACCTAAGACAATTGTTTATGATAATTATTCAGCTGTAAAGAATAAAATGTTTATTCTTTTAGTACCTCTGTGTGAAACAGCTTGTATACTTCTCACAATTGTTTTGCAAGTGGGCTTTTGTCAGCCTGAAACTCAATGTGGTTTGCCGCTTGCATAACGACTAGCTATAGTAGTAAGGGTCGCCACCACCTAGGCGAGATGTCACACCTATCAGATATGATACCGGACCATAGGTGGAACTTAGTTTTAAGTTGATTAATTATTTAATTTGAGTTAATATGACGTTAAATATAAATGGTTATAACATCTTGTGGTTTATTAACCAAAATTATGTGTCTAGATTAAAGAACATAAATAAAATGCACGCGAATTATTTAAGCTACTCATGCAATAAAATAAATATTACAGTTAAGATAAATAAGGAAATTTAATTTAATTGTTATAAAAGAAAATTAAATTAAACATGGACAAAAATACTAATGTATTAAAACACATGTCTACAAAGAAAGGTTGACAACAAAAATAAAATAAAATATTTAAACAGAATCAAATAATATAACAAACATCACGATTAACGGTATTGGAACACATTCGTTAATGTCAATCAGAAATTAATGAAAAACATCAGGAACGGTTAGGACACTCACTCCCTAGCTTTGGCTAAAAGAAAGACGAAACACGTGCTCTCCACGCATAAATAAAATTAAGTTAATTTATAATAAAATAAAAAATTAATATAACACAGACCATTACATACAAATAATTTAAAAAAAAGAAAACGATACCCGTTCTCCGAAAAGACCTGTCAATTTGCTTTTGACGGCTCTACTCCATCATTGAAAACAACAGTGACAAAAATATATAAACTTGTGCAATCTAGCACAGTCAATGACAGTAGTAAGGGAGAAAAGTCCACAACTTTCACAAGCTGTCAATNTTTGATATTATTGCTTTATCTGAAACCTGGCTTTCCCCATCTATATCTAATTTCGAATTAAGTTTTCATAATTATACAATTTACCGCTGTGACAGATCACCTCTGAATAGTATTCATACTCGAGGTGGGGGTGTCCTCATCGCTGTTAAATCTCTTTTAAAAAGTAAAATACTAAATGTCAGTGTTAAAAATGTTGAACATATTTTTGTTCAACTTTATTTAGGACCTAATATTTTTATACTTTGTTGTGTCTATATTCCACCTCTTTCGCCTATAACTACTTATGAAAATTATTTTTTGGCTCTTAATGAACTACATCTCGCAAACCCTAAAGCTAATTTTATTATTTTAGGTGATTTTAACCTGCCTTCACTAGACTGGTCTCTTTATTCTATCCCACTCAACTGCCATTCTCNTGAAAACAACAGTGACAAAAATATATAAACTTGTGCAATCTAGCACAGTCAATGACAGTAGTAAGGGAGAAAAGTCCACAACGATCTAACGAAAATTTCAAATCGATAAAAGCCAGTCTCTTTGGGAGCTATTGATACCTATAAACAATTTGATTTTAATTGCATTTATGCTCCCTGTTTGCTTTATCTAGCGGTCAGCGGCAAAAATAATGAGTTGATGACACCGCTGTGTCAAAAAAACGTATTTTTTTTAGTATTCAATGTTTTGAGCTAAAACCGTCCGCTCCATTTCAATTATTATTATTTTATTATGTACCTCATTACGATTATTTATATATATATTTTTTCTTGTGATGTATATTTTGTGACAATGTGATGAAGTAATGCACATTTATCCGGGATAACCCAATGTCTTGCTAAGTGTATCTGTTTAAAACCAGTCGCTTAATTGGGGCGTTTTCCCTACTGTCGTGATTAATGGACAAAAGGTACCCGAAGGCGTTTATCTCAATTCTAGACTAAAAGTTATAGGTGTAATTTTTAGCTTCGATGCGAAGCTGAGAAGGTGTATTGGTTTTACTGTGATGTGTTTTTTTTTTTGTGTCTGTTACCACTTTTTCTCAGCTCTCACCGAACCGATTTCTTTCAACGATACGTCAAAAGATCACAAATCGTATATAGTCGAAGACATTACCCTATAAAATTGAAAAAAATTCCGTCGTTCCCCGTAAATGGGGGAAACGTCCAAACAAATTACACATTTAAAAATCACTAATTTTCGAAATTTTTTTTACTTAAAACTACCATAACTTTTTCAAAAATGAAAACATCAATATAATTTTTTTTTATAGATGCTTGATGTCTTTACTTATCATTTGGTATATTTTTTTTGTAAATTTGACCCTTTATCTGCCCACAGAGGGGGATTTAAAATGACAACTTTTTCAAAAAAAATTAACTTTTTCAACTTAACTTTTGAAAGTGTTCTGAAAGGTCTGACACTTTTATATATATCTTAAATTAAAGCTTATGTAATATACTTTAATTTGAAAAAAAAAATTGACCTCTGGACTTGTCTTCGTGGTGAAAATAGACATCAAAGTTAATAAAAAATTATGATTTTTGTACAATAATTTTTTTTTATATTTTTAACTTAATAATGCTCTAACTTTTTCAAAAATGAACATATCAATATAATATTTTTTATAGATGCTTGATGTCTTTACTTATCATTTGGTATTTTTTTTTGTAAATCTGCCCACGGGGGATTTAAAATGACAACTTTTTCACAAAAAATTATGTTTTTCAACTTAACTTTTGAAAGTGTTCCGGAAGGTCTGACGCTTTTATAAATATCTTAAACTAATGCTAATGTAATATACTTTAATTTAAAAAAAAAAAAATTTTGACCTCTGGACTTGTCTTCGTGGTGAAAATGGCTACCGAATGCTATTGTTGTGTGAAAATTCTCGTTTTTATTTTTTACATTTTTAACTTTATAATGCTATAACTTATTGAAAAGTGTATGGTTCAACACAATTTTTTTATGAGAAATAATATTTTTTAATAATCCCTTTTTAATTCAAGATATTAATAAGAAAATAGCAGATCATGTAGCTTTTGGAATAATCCACCAATTTTTTTTAATTAAACACTATCTAAAGATTTGCATCAAAGCGTTTTATTTTGATAGTGATTTTAACCACTATCAGATATCATTATACTTGATCCAACTATGCCACGTCACCACTGTGCTGCGACCCCCCTGTGCTGGTTTTTTTTATTAATATCTATTTTTTATTCCTCTGTTCCGCTTTAGTTGCAGACGAAGTTTTTGACCGTTCGCTTTTTTGTCTCATATTAACTTAAATTGTTTGTCTTATTAATAAAGGCCATTTGATATTACCTAATCACAAAATCTTTTTCTTGTGAGCACTGCCTTCAACAGACTTATGTATTTTATTTTCCTTAAAAAATCATCTTTCCCTAGTTTATAAAGTACGAGCAACGGATTTTCAGAATTAATCATATTTAAGTGACAATTTAATCACGATATTTTGCTGAAAATATATAAATTAGCTTCAGGGTTAAATCTTTTATTTTTATTTAAAACCCCACTTTAGTCCGACCTTAAGTCTAAGCAAATAGGCTTGTAGATCCTAATTCTTATATCTTTTGTTTGTACAAAATTTATTATACGATATGACCAAAAATTTAATTCTACGGCTTACCTTTCACAATAAATAATACTTTGAAATTTTTAAAGAAATAATTAAAGGGTATACTTAAGTGTTTGCAACCTGAGGATGAGAAGTCTTATCAAAGTTATACAATAACACTAAAAGAGATAAAGAGCGTGAAAAAATTAGCCAATAATAAATAATGAACATCTTATACGCTCTTCTTCTTATATATGATGTCAACTATACAGGGTGATTTTTTTATCATAACCCACTCAATTACTTACAGAATAATAATAATTTAAAAATTTTTTTTTATTATTATCTTTAGTTACACATTATTCTTGAATTATTAACTATGTAATACTTTTTAAGTTCATCCCTTATGCCTGGTAAGGGTGTCAACTTTGTTTTTTTAAATGGTAACACATATTTTTAATTTAATAAAATGTTTGAGTTTTTAATTCAATAATAAATGGCATTTGAATTTTTAATAAAACTTAATTTGTTTATTAGATATAAACATTTAAAGTTTCAAATTTTTGAGTTAATATATAGGTATAATACACAAGGGATTACAAATACAGGTAGCTAATTGGTTTTTTATGACATCGATATTAGCAGGTACAAAGCATTGTTATTATCAATGGTAGTAAGACACATTGTTGTGAGTTTATAAATACACTAACTGACAATACAGAATGTATATCTATTGATAGTCATAATTGATAATAAACAATCCGTGACTGTGATAGCAATATCATAAAAAACCAATTAGCTACCTGTATTTGTAATTCCTTGTGTATTATACCTATATATTAACTCAAAAAATTGAAACTTTAAATGTTTATATCTAATAAACAAATTAAGTTTTATTAAAAATTCAAACATTTTATTAAATTCAAAATATGTGTTACCATTTAAAAAAACAAAGTTGACCCCCCTCCAAGGTATAAGGGATGAACTTAAAAAGTATTACATAGTTAATAATTCAATAATAATGTGTAACTAAAGATAAAAATAAAAAAAAAATTTTAAATTATTATTATTCTGTAAGTAATTGAGTGGGTTATGATAAAAAAATCACCCTGTATATTATCATATATAGTTGGTTGAAAAAAAATATATATATATGTGTGTGTGTGTGTGTATATAATTTATTATAAAGTTAATATGTTAACTGCCTATTTTTTTTAATATAAATTAAGCCTGTTTAGTTGAATAAATACAAATAAAAAATTAAATAACATCAGTTAACTAGGATAAACTAGGCTAACTTTTGAGCAAATAGTTTGACTAAGAATCAACTTAAAGCAATAACTAATAAATAAATAATTAATGTATCTGTTGGCCAACGGCTCCTACAATAACCGTTGACTGATAATAATCAACACAGAAAATGACTTAAACAAATATATACCCTAACACAAAACAAAAGAGATTGATACTCGTACAATTATTGTTTGAATACAGGGTGATTGAAATCTGGTAAGACACTCATTTTCTCAGAAAATATTGAGAATTTTAAATTTTATTATAGAGAAAAAATATCAAGTTCAAAAAACTCTACAATAATATGTAGTCAAACCATTATTTTCTTCGTCCTTTCAAGGATAAAAACCCGTATTTATAATTTTCTTAAATAGGAACCCTTATTTTTAACTTTATAATATGATAGAAAAAAAAATAACAAACAATTTTGTTCTTATAATTTTTTTTATCCGATTAACCGTTCGTCCGTTATAGCTGGTAAAAGTTAAGTGATTTTAGGCCAAATTTCTACTGTCATTTTACTGTTTTAAATACAGAAGTCATTATTTTTATTTGCTGTTGCATAAGCCAAATTTTATTGATCAAGTTATGACAGGTAAATTAGCTATAAAAATGTACTACGCACTAAATGAGTGATAACAATAATAGATTCAAACCGGGTTTTCGGTGAATTATTAATAGCTAAGTCTATGGTTTTGTAAGACTAAAGGGTCCATCAAAAATGCCAGTTGCACTGCCACCGATATTATGAAACGTAATAAATAACAATATTTTTTCTGGAAGTCAAAATCTTTAAACAATTATAAAACCTAAACGGTTGTTTGGATAAAAAAAATTATAAAAACAAAATTGTTTGTAATTTTTTTTTTTATTATATTATCAAGTCGAAAATGGTGGTTCCCATTTAAAAAAATTATAAATAAACATTTTTATCACTGAAGGGATAAAAAAAAAATTATTTAACTTCATATTATTGTAGAGTTGTATAAACTTAATAATTTTTTTTTTACAAAAATTTTAAATAATCAATAGTTTCTGAGAAAATACGTGTTTTACCAGATTTCTATCACTCTGTATATTATAAAATAATATAGTTACCTTGTTTTGTTTATAACTAATAAATATAATGGACGTCCCGAAATACAAATGTAATTACAGTTAATAATTAAACTATAAATAAATAAACTATAATATGATTCAACTAGTTCACTCTACAGATTTGACTGACTTCTCAGTAGTAGCTTCCAACTTTAAGTATTGAGATCTAATAATCACGGAATAAAACCGGAGTCCAAGTGTTTCATTAATAACTCGGAATTCAGTAAGACCACAACTTTTAACTCAGTCTTTCACGGCTTTATGCAATGGGCCGGAGAACAGTAATATGGTAAAATAAATGCGTGCGTCGATTACGTAACGGTATTAATAAAACAACATGGCGCATAGAACATTAGTATAAGTCAACAATAGCTAGTCAGCCGACAGACTCCACGACCATGAAAACTATTTGACCCAGTGTTGTCAAAAGCGACTTACAATGTGTACAACCGGTATTAATACCGACTGATGCGGAGACAACGCCTGCTGTTTTGAACAGTAACAATAAATAATTAAATGGTTGAAAGACAATTGACTAGGCAAAATTGTAAATACAAATTTTTAATATGTTTGAAAATTATGTCTAAATTGAAATGATGTACTTATGTTAATTAAATGAGAAAAGTAATATCAATATTTATTTTTATTATTACTGAGCTAAATAAATGAAAAATATAAGTCATTCATGTGACTTAAAATTATTTATACCAAAGCGTAGTGAAGCCCGCTTTGCACGAGTACCCTAAACATATATCGGCCAATGCAGTAATCCGATACGCTTACGGTATCCCGCGGGGCTCCCTTACCTTTACTTAATCACTTATTCCGGTTTACGTGAACTAAACATATCGCAGTTGCGCGCAGGTGGATTCATGCAATTAGTTTTTATTTAGAATTGCCCTAAACGTTAACCGTATTGATTGATGCGATTGTGTTATTTAGAAATTTGTCTATTGCAGACTAATTTTCTCTATACAACGAAATCAAACGGAGTTGCTTTGTTTTAGGTAAATAACTTTTACAAAAATAAATATGGAGTATAGAGGGAGATAACTACTGTGCCCTTCTTAATCGATTTGGTTCTTGCGAATGAAAGTAATCGAAAACCCGCAT